GCTTTTAAAATAAATAACAATGGAGGCAGCAAACAGAGACAGAATGGTTGAACAGGAGAAGAACACAAAAGTAAATATAGCCCTTCGTGTAATTCTTCCAGCCAGTCTGCAGTAGCTTCTTTGCCTTGCACTGCCCTCCCCGTTTTTTGCCTGGGGTATTCACACAGCAGAGGTCCACATTTTACTTCTCATTCTTACAGCTGTTGCAGGCAACAGGAGGCTGCAGTCCCCTGCCATGGTCCTGTTTGGGTTCTTTCTTGTCTGACTGGGGTTTAGGGCCCCTTTCCTTGCTGTGTTCTTTAGTTTGTCCCATTTCCTGCCTCTGGACTGATCTGATGGGACAGCTTGGTCTTCCCTACGATGAAAAACCAAGTAAGAAAGGGAACAGGAGATGACTTTTCTTGGATCCCTCCCCAGCTTTGTTACATCTTCCAGAGGGAGATTTCCAGCAAGAGCTACACAAGAGTCCTACTTAGATACTTATTTCAGATTCTTTCCTAGCCCCTGATCCCCAGGGCTGTCTGTAGCCCTAGCCAGTGTCTGTGCTTCACAAATGTTTCGTATTGAAATATTTTCCAGGTGTAGTGCCCAAAATGCATTGGGTACTTGTGCCTAATTCCCACTGACTTCACTATGAGTTCTACCACTCATTGCAGGAAGTGTGGACAAGTGTCAAGGTCAGTTTTGGGAGCTTTAGTAATGGAATGCAAGAAGAGCAAAACAGACCTAAGGAAGACGGGATTTTTACAATCCTACTTCTGTTGCAGTCAAAGGAAGCTCCCCCATTAATTTCAGTAAAAGGAGAAATAAAGTATAAGCCAGGAAATCAGATGAAACTCAGAGAACTTGCCCATGAGTTTATTTTTCTTAGCAGTATAGAATAATTTCTTAAACTGAGGAAATGTTCCTGATAGCTGAGATCTTAATCCTAGAAATAGTGTAGTGTAGCTAAGTATTTTTGTATGTGGATTTAAATTTTTTAAAAAAAATAAATTTTATGACTAGTTTTCATTAGGGACTGCAGGAATGAGACTGATATATTGAAACAGTATATTCAAGATCTTGAACCAAATCCTGCTCTGAAGTTTTTGTCTTTGAATGTACTTCCTCTCTTCCTCACCCCAGTTGTTAGAGCCTGGTTATATTGCCTAGAAAGGCCTGTTAAAACAGATATATTTTTATTTGCATGCAAATTGGTAGGAGACAGCTTGGCTGTAAATACTGTGCTAATCATTCCAGGTTCATCAGAACCCTAATTGGCTGTGGGATTGCCTGTAACTCTCAGTACCCTGATTCAGAGCAATAGGAATTGTTGAATCTACATAATAAAGTGAGTGTGATGGAAGGTGAGCTCACACCTACTTGAGATGTGTGTTATCATTCCCATCAAGGTCAAAGACATTTTTTTTCCTTCCACATATACATATTCATCGAGCCTATGCACAACTAATGAGTTGGAAGATTAAATGGTTGTGGATTAAGAACAAACCCTACTGTTCTCCTAATTTGATTGAAAGTTACTTGGTTCATCTGATTAGAATTTTGAATTCAAACCATCTAACACGGGCTCCTCAGCTACTTGCAAAACCTGAGCAGGGCAGCCAAGAACAGATAAAGGTTTCATCCAGTCCCCCCAAATCTCAGGGAGGCCATGGATCTGAAGAACCACTGGAATCCCCCCTGAACTTCTACAGGGAGAGACTGACCCAGGGCAGAAGGGCTGTGCTGCCAGGGTCAGCTCCCACCCAGGATCTCCAGCCAGGATTGATTTCATGTCAGATTTTTAAAATATTACAGCAGAGATATTACTTCTAGTCCCTGGTAAAGGACATATTACCTAAGATACTGAGATGAGCCTTTGCTCTTGAACTGCTATGCATTAAAATATCTGTCTTTTTCACACATACTGAGTTACATAATTAGCAGCCATGATTCAAAGGAGTCCTTGCCCTAAGCCCGGAGTGTCACTGCTTTTCCCTGAGGCTGGAAGCAGTTGGGCTGGTCCCAGGGCTTGGAAAGGGCTGCAGCATCACCAGGCGAGGAAAACCTTGGGAGACAAATGGCCAGGTCTCACAATAGGTGTGAGTCAGTCCCTTTGCACTTAGGTGATTTGACTTCCTGTTGCTCTGCTATCTGGGCTGCTTGTTTTGGGGAACAAATCCTTATTAACGCTGTATCTCTACCATCCTCACTTCCACCAAAGGCTCCCTGTATGCATTATTTTCCTGCCTTGTGCTGTGCAGCACTTCCTCTGCTCTGCAGCTGCTCCTGCTCCAGCTGCCTGCCCAGGACTTTTGGCACAGCTCCTTAATGAATGCTGCTCCAAGATGCTTGGCTTAGCTTCATGGCACCCAGGAACATTTGTCCTTTCCCTCTAATCTCCTGAATTGCAGAAGTGTTCAGTATATGGGCTTTAGATCCTGCCTGGCTTTATTCAGGTGTAGAAAAGGGGAGAGGAGAAGGTGTTGGAGGGTCTGTTTAACTATAAAGAAAAAAGATAATGGTTTGGGGCTGTGCTGTCCTAGTTCCTTTTTTTTTTTTTTTTTCTTTTTTTTATGTCTGTGTGCATGCATTTATTTTAACTTTTCTGTTTGAAGGGGGAGAAGGGACCACAGGGTTTGACCTGTGTATTTAACAAAAAGAGAGCACTGAATGAGAGGATTTCAAGAAGTTTTCACAGGTGTATTTAAACAGCAGAAGATTCCTGTTTCCTTAATCAAAATGGGAGCAATGTGTATCCACAACAGACATGAAACAAAGAGAACTAAGAAATGTGTTGGCATTCAAAAGAACCGGAAAGTAACACTGTTCCTGTCACTATTAGAAGGTTAAAATCCTGCCTGGCAGCCTATAAACTATTTAAATGATCCTACAGAAATTCCACTGACCGAATCATTTTTGGGATTTATAGCTAAATCCTTCACCCCAATTGAAGACTCAATGTACTCACAGCCCTGCCGGAAAATACACCTTAATGAGGGGAAATTGTAAAATAGGACTGAAAAAAAAAAAAAAAACCTCTTCAGCAGAGGTCCTTGCTGCAGTCCTCACTCACTTCACATGGCCATTGAGATGATGGCAGCTGTGCTGCTGTGATCATATGTGACCTAGATTTTCCTCACAGTAGTCCTGTGCTCTCCCTGATCTTGTGTAGGCCTGAATGAATTGAATAGGAACATTTCTGGATGCTTTCAGAGAGCAATGGTATCTTTTTCTCTCTCTCTCTTGTTCTTCAATCTGCAGCATCTGTTCCCCTTGTGGTTTTCTCCCTTTGCTCTCACTCGGTGCTCGTGAAAGAGGACAGGGCTGGTGTAGCTTTAATTTGGGAAAGGTGGATGGGGAAATCAGGGCAGGTGTGATCCCTCCTTGGTGTCCTGTCACACAGTAGAGGGTAAAACTCAAGTTCATGGGTTTAGTACTGAGTGGGCACAAAGGAGGTGGGGAGGGCTCTAAGGAGGGTTGAGGGGTGAGACTTGTAGCATCAGGGAGCCTGAGATTCTGCACATGGCATCAAGGAGGCTTTTAGGTACTATTCACACAACCCTCTTCTGCCTGGGTTCAAAATTACCCTATGCAAGCTCCTAATGCTTTGTGGGAGAAAAGTTGGAGAGGCTCAGCTCCTCAGTGCATGTTCAAGCTCTTGTTAATGCACTTTGGCTGGAATAGTTGTGGGCAGGAATTAGCTCATTGCATTGCAGTGCCCAGCAGAATGTCTGAGACCATCCCCAGCTCTGGTGTGGAGGTTCTGAGGCCACTTTCCTCTGGACGTGGTTTTTGGCTTCTCAGTTCCCAGTTCTGGCACCAACACTGCCTCTGCAGTGAAGGGTCTTGGTTAAGGTACAAGGAGGAAACAAAACTAGATTTGGTTTGGTTTCCCTTGGGGGGACAGCAAAGCCTTGCATCAAAAAAGGCTGAAGTCACCTGTAGGGCAGCCTTCCTTCCTTCCTTCCTTCCTTCCTTCCTTCCTTCCTTCCTTCCTTCCTTCCTTCCTGCCTTCCTGCCTTCCTGCCTTCCTGCCTGCCTTCCTTCCTTCCTGCCTTCCTTCCTTCCTGCCTCCCTCCCTCCCTCCCTTGTGTTAAGATTCAAAACTTTAAAACTAAAATCAAGCAAGTAGCACTTAGAGTCCAGTGGAAACTTTTAGATACTGTTCTGGTGGGAATAAAAATAAACACTTATTCTCTTTCTCAGTTCATATGCAGAATAAATTGTAATGATCCCATCATCTGCTGTGCAGAAAGCCGTAAGGACAACTTCTCTTTGGTGCTGTCTTCAGTTACAGAACTGTTCTGACAGTGGCGAGTGAGTGTTACAGGTGGTGGGTGGGGGTTCCTTCCGAAATTTTATATAACTCCAATATTATCTGTTCCTGTGATTGACTTGACACATGAATTCAAAACAGTTGGAGCTTCTCTCCCACTCTGGTGTAGCAAACTGGATGTGAAAATGACACTTCCCCCTGGGAGCTGATAGTTTGCTGTTCCATGCATGGTGTTGGGTTCCTTTGTTCGCTGAATGTGGCACTTCGCAAGTGGTTTTTGCCACTTCAGGGTTGTCAGTTCTGTCTGCTAGAGGCCAAGATAAAGCTTCACAAAAAGCCTTTCACTCCAAACAAATCTTCTCTGTAATGCCCTGACTCGATGACAAAGGAACCAGGAGCTTAGAGGTGGTTTGGATTTCTTTCCACCCCAACGTGTGCGTTCTTCCCTTGTCATGCTTTTATTTTAATGTGATATTTCCTACCCTGCTGTAAACACCGGGGTGGTTTTTGTCTTGTGACTCGGCAGCGCTCTGCCGCGACATTCCTTTCATAAGGCGATGCTGATAGCGCTGGATGTGCCGCTTATCAGAGGGGCTGTACCAGCAACACTCAGATAACCCCGGCAGGGGATGCATTAGCGGCAGGAGACCTGTGTGAAGCACTGTTGTGATACATTTGTGACCGAGAGGATAAAATACACGGGAACAAACCCGTGGAACTCTGCAGAGTTGGGGCTTCAACAGAGCACGGTGAAGCAGCCTGTGAACAGTGTCCTGGCCCACAATAAGATTGTTCCATCTGTGAAGTGACCCCGGTTACTCATGGTCAGGACAGTGCCAAGGGTCCAGGGCTTGGCAGCAGCATCTGCCCCGAGCCCAGTGAGCCATGGACATTGGTCACTACAAACAGAAGCAACAGAAATGTGAGAAGTGTTCATGCCAGTGAAGGTTGGTTGGCTTTGATTTTACTTAGAGAAAACAGATCAAATTTGTCTTAGGGTTCACAAAGGTGCTGAATGCTGAAGTCCCCAGCAGCCGTGACTTGATCCATCTTCATGGAACTAGCTTTGCCTGTTGATGTTCATTTTTCTTTGGATTTTATCTTGTTGTATTATTCCTTATCATCAATATAAGGATTTGTACATGGATTCAGAATTATTGTGCTTTCAAATTGTATGCAAATGGTCTGACTGAAGTAATAAGTTGATATTTTGGCTTGGTTTCACTGGCTTCTGTAACAAAGAATGCAAATCACAAACCACTCAGAGGTACTGGATCCTCTTCTGTGCACCAGGATTATTCCATGCAGTTTGGCAGTTGTCTGAGTCCTCAGCTCCTAATGGAGGAGAAGGGGTGATATATATATATATATATATAGGGACAAGGCAAAAGCCTTAATTCCTGGTCAGACAGGACTGAAAGGTAACTTTTCTACTGAAAGAACCTCTCCCATGTATTGTGTCAGGACTGTCACAGCCTCCAGCTGCCAGAACAACCTCTAGGGCAGTGGGATAACTAAATGTAGGGAGACAGCAGTAGTAGGCAATGAATCTGCAGAATTGGAGATAAAGTACATGCAGTCCAACTGCAGAGCCAATTATAATCAATGTAGGTTGTTTTAGGGACTTTGCAGAAACCAGGATTTGACTTCACAAGATGAAATGAGAAATTTAACAGGGATGAAGAAAGGCGTTACCACGCTATTCATAACACTCCTTGTTAGAGGCTGCCAGCTTCTTCCTGCATAAACCGAAGGGAGCTACAGGTGATGGAAAAATAAATTGGTCCCTGTGGGCACAGTGATTTTGACTGTACATGTGTTTTAGAGATGAGGTCGATGTGCTATGAACTGCAGGTGAAATGGCAACAGTGGTACCTGGAAACCTGGTGTTTGTCAGAGATGCTGGAGAGCTGCTCAGAGATGGTCAGGGAATAATTTTATTCAGGCTGTGTTTAAAATAAACCTTTCCAAGAACACAGAAACTGCTTGTTGGAAGAGTAAATGGCAGATTGTGTGAATCTTTATGAATTTCCTGTCCTCTTCTCACAGTTGTACCATGCAATGGGGGGTGTGTCACAGCTGCAGAACTTTTTCGTACAATGAAAAATTGGATGTAGTTTCCTACAGGTCAAGCCAGCTCCTCATTGCTGGCACATCTTGTGTGCACTTTTGAAGTATTGGGTTGTATATGGTCCTGAAAAATTTCTGCAGCTTTTATCCCCTCTCCCCATACAGCTTTGGCTCCAGTCTGAAGCGCAGTTATGTGACCAGGGAGAAAATGTTCTCTAAATGAATCTATCATAAACATAGTGCCTGTCCTGTAATGGTTGGGATTGGAGAGTAACAACCTAATAAACCGAAGTCTTTTATTTCTTTCCTTTTTATAGATCACGTGCTGAAGGCTTCTGAGAAGTGCCTCTGTCTCCCAGGCCTGAGCTCAAAGCAGAGATCACCTCACAGCTTGCTTTAGTCAGGGCTGATGAAGGAGAAATGCTGTGGGGTTTGCCTGGACACTCAGAGCCAGGGTAGGTTTTGATTCCTAATTGGGCAGATCCAAAGTTTTCCATAGCTTTTCTTATCTAGAACAGGACTATCTAGACCAGGATGCTTCTGACCACCTTTCCAAGGCTCTCTGGTTTCATTAATTGGGCTCCACACCCCTAAATTAATGACTGTGCAATGTGTTGCTGTTCCATTAATGAGATCCATGTTGTGGTGGATTTTGGCAGTACCAGACTCTTTTTCCACTGCCTTTGAACTCCTGCCTGGCTTTCCCCAGTCTTTACAGAACTATCCACTTATCCTGCTGGCCAACAGCTTATCTGGTCCCTAAGCAGCTGATCCATTCCCTTCAAGCTGCACAGCTCTCCCATCTCTCTTTCTCCTTCTCTTTCCCTCCTCACTATCTTTGCTCTGCAGAAATTGCTCCCAGAATGGAGCAGTGGATTTTGCAGAGGACAGGTCACATAGGACAAATCTGCCAAGCTGTTGCTTCTCCCTCAGGTTGCTTCTTTGACTGTCACTTTTCTCCCCAGGCTCTGTAGCCCAAATTTTCCCTGGCCTCTGTAGACTGAGGACAGAGAGCAGGAAAATGTTGCCTCAGATTAATTCTTGTCTCCAGCCCCTTTCTCTATATCTCCACGTTTTCTCTGTCTGGATTATTGCCTTTGGGGTCAAAGGAGGTTTTTTTTTTGATACTGTGCAGATAATATGATGGTGGAATGCAACATTTGGTAAGTAGATCACCTTAATCTTGTTTTCACAGCTCCTTTTCTTACGCTTACATTTTGAATGTGAGGTTTGGATTTGCACATTTTCCTTCCTCTGCAGCACAGCCACCCTGGTACAAAGCATTGGCTTTATTGTGTGTAACAGGTCCTAGAAAGTTGCTTAGATCTTTACTTCTTGGCACAAATAATGTGGCAGGAGCATTTTCAATGCTGCCCTCATAATGAAGAGAGAACTTTTCGCTGGAACTCTACAATCATTTTTAGAAAAGAATTTGGAGCAATAAGAGTGAGTGACAGTTCTCCCTTCAAACCTTTTCTATTAACTGACAGAAAGGATGCCATTTGCTTCCTTTGCAAATAAAATGAACAAAATAATGTGAGTGATACCTGAAAATACCACATAAAAAGTGCTAGGAAAAGGCAGCCCTGGCATCTGTTGAGAAAGGACATCATTGTTCTTATTCAGTCTCAGCCATGATGAGAATTTCACCTTCCAGACCTGACTACACAACAGGCTATTTTGGGGAGTCTCTTTACATTGGCTGACTTTACAAGGCTTTAAAAATATATATATATTAAATGTAGGCAAAAGGAGTACATTCCAAATAATCAGGCGTGTAAATGAAAACTCCTCAAATCTTTGAAAAATCTTCCTTAATATTATATAATAAGAAATACATAACTGTGCCTATTTTTACAGTAATTTTCTTTCATTTGATGACATTCAATAGTAAGATTTATTATTACCCGCATGGAAAATATCCTGCCTGGGGGTGGTTGAAATAGATCTTGCAGACAAGTCATCAATCAGCTGGTGTTTATCTCTTCAGAGATCAGCGATATCAGTGGCAGGAACAATTCCAACCAATTCGAGAGTATTTACCGATAATAAAAGGAAATGTTCGTGTGGCTTTGTACTGCTTCTCTCGCCAGAGGTCACACAGCATTTTTGCAGGAGGGCTGATTTATTGAGGCTCGTTTGAAGCTGAGGCAGGGAGAGCTCTGAGGTATCCAGAGCCCTTGCCCTGACACCTCTGTGGCCATTGCTCCCTCTCTGAGAGAAGGTCTAACTTCCCTGGCAGAGGGCTTTAAGATAACACCAGTCCTCCCTGTCCCCACTGCTAATGAGTTCAGCTAAAAGGATTTAAGACTGATGCAGACAAAAAGATCTTTTACATCAGCTGAATTGCATGCAAAATGATTCTTACACTTCTAAGGAGTGAATTGTAGCTTCTAACTGAACTCTGCTATAATTCTAAAGCAGAAGGTCTTGTATTTGTGTCCCTGATAGAGAGGTTTTTCAAAATTTTATGACAACACTCAGAATATTTATAGGTATTGACTGCAGGGTTCAGGACAAAGATCTGTTGTCCTTGAGGCAAAATAACAGCCCTGACTTTACCTAGTATTTGCCTCTTGGTGTAATCAGTCTGGAACTAACACTGCAATTGTTACCTAACCTGTGTATGACACAAGGGTTTTGTTCCTCTCACCTTTGCTTTTTTTTCTTTGTAAAATGCAGTATTTATACTTACTGAAACAAAGAGCACTTTGAATCACAAGATGAAGTGTATGGTTTTTAAAAAGTTATAAAAGGGTCTTTTTTTGTTGTTGTTGTTTAATTTCTATGGTTTTGTCTAAGGAAATTTACTGGAACATTCATTTCTGTTTGAGAGGAAACTTGCTCTATGTGGACAATAAAGATGTTAAGATCAGGATGAATGTCTATGGGAGATAATAATAATGAATGAAAAAATGCATCAGTCCAGCACTCATATTTTCCAGGAACTGCAAGAACTCAGTTCTGGGTTGTGTTTTAAATCTGAGCCCCATTGTTGCTGACTGGGTTCCCAGTCTGTTGGAAAGGCTTCTCTTTGTTCCTCTGAGCTGCTCCAATCCGAAGCATTTGGACCAGTTCCATATTTTAAGTGAGATTTTTAAGCTGAACATGTATTTTCATTCTTCCAGCTTTAAAATGTAGAGCAAAGCATCTTTCCCCTGTTTCCTGCTGGCCATGAGCAGGGCACATTGACACTGGCAAAAGTAATTTGACCTGGATGAGCCTGCGAGGGGACAGCCAGCAGTTATCAGTGGTACGTGAGCGGTGCCAGGAGCACGCTGCTCCCCCGGGCAGGAACATGCCTTGTGAGGCAGCACTCCGGGCTTCACCCGGGCACGTGTGAGCTCTGTGCTCCGGCTGACGTGATTTGTTCTCCCCACAGATACAAGGTGGGTGAGAACATGTTTTTCTCGCTGATGCTGTGGCACTTGGTGGCATTAATCAAATGCTTGTGGTGCCAGGGCCGGGGTTTAGTTGTGTCCTTTTGCAGGTGAATGCCCCAGCCTGGTAGTACAGAGGTGGTTTTGTTCCTCTCTTTTCTTTCTCGGTTTTTATGGGATTTTTACACAAATGGTACTTCAGCTGTGAAGCACTGAGGGTGACCTGCCCTTGGACACTCTGGCATTTGACCTGGTTGTGTGCAGCAGCAGCCTGGGAAGCTCTTCCTGCTCACAGGCAGGATTTGTTACTGGCTAAAGTTACTCTCCTTGTAAGAGAAGTTATTTGGAAACGTGGCCTCTCACCCTTTTAACGCCCACCAGTTAAACTTCTTCTCTTTCAGAATGCCCACATAAGGTTTGCTGGCCCAGCCCAGCACCCACCTTGTGTCCCTGTGGCTGCGCTTGCTCTCCAGTGTCACATCATGTGTGAAACTCTCCTTCATACCAACAACTCCGAGAGAGCTCTGCACTCCTGTGTCACACAGCATTTGTAATCCCGACCCTGCTATTGACAGATTGCCAGTCTGTGAGACGGCTGTGACAATACAACCTGGCAAAAATGAGCCTGCAAAATCCTCAGGAGCTCGTAGCCATGGGCAGACCTGGGGTCCCCAAGAGGTCGATGTCAGCGTGAGGCTGAAGCCATCCAGCAGGATCGTGTTGGAGCTCGCACGGAGCATGAACTCCTGAGAGGGGATTGGCACTGGCTGGTGCTCAAGGGCAATTGTTGGAGCAGCTTGTGAGCAGGCAGCTCGCCAGCGAGACAGGGCATGGCTGTGGACAGCTCACAGAGCGTGTGTGTGCGCAGGGCAGGCAGGATGCACAGCTGGGAAACGGGAAAGGGATTTCTGTAAACTTCTGCTCCGAGGGGGAAGAGCATATTCAGGCGATGCCAATCCGTGGAGGAGTAAAGAAATGATTTCTGGCAGCTAAGACAGGTTTTGGGTCTGGCTAAATCTGACAGAATGCTGTGGGGGAGAACTGGAGATGTCATGGTTAATGAGTATGGAAATTATATCAGTAGCTTGGCCATCTAGGTTTTAAATGTTGTCAATCTATAACATGCAATACTTCAGTGTAACATTTTCTGGCTGCCTAGTTTAAGGCATAAAGACAGGCAGCCTCTCAGTAATGAGTCAGTATCTATAGAGAGCAAGCTGTTGATAGCAAAGCAGAAATCTTGGCTTCTCATCTCAGCAAGTTTAAATTAATCAAAAAAGATGGTGGGCAGGAAAAGAAGAGGGGTTGTTTTCTTTTGTTTTCACATTTTTGACACACCTGACAAACTGAATTCCCCATGATTTTTCTGCCTCCCTGCTCGGCCCACGGGAGCATTAATTCCTGTCTCCTCTCCGTGCACTCCAGCCCATGAGCTGTGCAGTGACCCTCCTGCCCAGTTCCTCCTGGCATCCTGGAGTGCACTTAGACTCTGCACCACGAATGCTGAGGGAAGGCAAAACCTGTTTACTGTAAACACATTCTCCCCAGCACTTCAGTCCAGCAAAGGATAATTACCGAAACTCTGGGACAAAGGTGTTGTGGATCCTTTTACTGCTGGATGGAAAGGATCCTCGTCAAGTCTAATGAGTCTGTGGCTCTTGCAGACATCCAAGTGGGCCTTGCTGTCTCCAGAAGAGACAGAAAGTAACTCTGGGAAGGCAGAGTGTGGAATCTGACACTACTGCGTAATTGAGGAAAAAGAGCTATATGCATTATTTATGAGCAGAAGGCTGGGCTCAATGTTAACAAGTGAGAAGAATGTGGCTTCAAAACACAGGCTTTCTGCTCTTCCCTGTAAGAAAGGCTTCTGATTTAAATTGCTTGTATTTGAGAGCAGGAGGGGAGACAGGGTTGTTTTTAATAGCGAGCCTCATTCCGTGTGTGTGGAGCTGTACAAGATTGAGGGAGAGGCAGGGATTGCCCCGAGGAGAGCAGCCTCTGCTCACTCAGGCTGTGGCCAGGATGTGTCATACATGCTGCCCTGTAACGAGCTAATACCGATCTGCTTCAGGCAAAAGATTTCACTGCAAGACAGAACCAAGCAGAATTGCTACTCTTTTGGCATTTCCATTGGACAGGGAGGATTTAAAAAAGCTGAGGAATTTTCTCTGAATCGCTCTATCCACCCCACGCCCTCCCTTTGCAACCACTGCCCAGTTTTGGGGTTGGATGAGTTGATTTTGTGGGTTTTATCCTCTTATGGGTCCCCCACCTGCAGGGTCTGCCCTCTTGGGTGTTGTGGTCGGAGCTGGAACTGGCATGAGCCACCCAGCTCAGGCTGTCACAAAATCTCAGTGTAAAGTTACACAAATGTGCTGGGGCTTTTGAGTTTTAGCTTTTTTCTGATTATTTTCTAAAGAAACCAGGCCTGGCTGGCTAATGAAGTTTTGCCCTTCATGATGACAACGTGTGATTATTATCAGGAAAAGATATTATGTTCCAAAGAGTACAGGATGCTGAGCTGCCTTTTTTCTTAGGAAAACACAGCGTGGGCTGAGGCAGGGCAAGTCCCTCCCTGTGGAGAGATCACCTTCATAGCTGAGCAAATTATCACCTTCATCACTGTCTGCATGGCACTCACACCTAGAGGCAGGAGCAGGAGCTTGAACTCTTCCTGGACCTTTCTGCAGCTCAGCACATCCATTAAGGACCCCACCACAAAGAAGTAAAGGCTCTTCCCACTCCACCCAGCAGTACATGACATTTGCTGCAGAAGATTTTCAGGGCTGCTACTGCAGCCCTGCTTAGGTTAGGAGTTCATGCTTGGCATGTTTGTGCTGCAAATCTGGTACCCAGCACTGCTCCATCAGCTTGTATTTGCGTTCCATGCTTTTATTTTCTACAGGTCCCAAAAGGTAAGAGAATCTTCCATTTTCTTCCCTTTTTAAAGGTCAGCAGTTTCTCCCATCCCCATTTCTGCATTACAGCCAATGTCCTTTCCATGGTATAAAATCCTGACTCCTTCCTGCTGTGATCCCCAGCAGCCAGGACTTTATTTCTGTGAGGAAAATTAGCTCAGTGGGATAAGATGAGAATAACTAGGCCTCTGTAAAAGTCAGGAAGCAAGAAGTGAACAGCATTGCACTGGAACTGATGGGGGAGAAGCACTCTGTTCCTTGATTTCTAACACTGGCTCATTGATTCTCCTCTTGGTTCAATCAGCAGTTACTGCTTCTCCTTAATCCAGGTTCATAATTTCTTAGTGGAGCGGGTTCTTAACAGAAATACCCCTGAGAAATCGTAACAACAGGCTGGAGGAGAAGCTGAAGAACACTGGGATCTTGCCTGCATCCCAGAAGGATGTATTGGAGCAGGGAATTGCTGTTTCCAGTGGGGTTCCCTGTTTGCAGCCAGGTTTGTGGCTGTACAGCTTTGTTTGGTGTCCAGAGGGGCCAGCAGACCTTGACCTGGCTGCTGAAAACGAGTAGCACCTTTTTCTAAGGAGTACTGCTAAGTTTTCCCTGTCCCCAGGCTTCTCATAGCAAAGTAGGTAAGGGCAGGAAGGACTAATGAATAAAGATGATTTTTGTAAAGGTGGGATTGGAACAGGAGAGGCTGGAGGTGAGGCACAGCGATGGGGGAGGAGGGAGGCAGCCCGTGTGGGGACTAGTGAGTCATGCATCCTCCAGCAAGCACTGACTCACTGGGAAGATGATCGCTCTGCTGTTCCCTTTCTGCTAAGGCTGAGGAATAGTCAGTCGGCACAACTTTATTCTGCAAGCTGGAGAGTGAGGTGTAGAAGAGAGGGAGCTGGAGACCGTGAAGCGCTGAAGGGGGAGGCAGGGTGAGCCCTGGGGCACAGCCTGCAGCTGGTGCTGCTGCTGAGGCTCCCTGCAGAGCTGAGGGGAGAATTCCCCATGCCTGGGCTGCCTGTGGAGCAGAGGCTCAGCTCCCACAGCCGGGCTGGGCTCTGGAGTCTGCAGGTGCCGTTTGTGTTCTCTTTGCTGCAGGGTCAAGGCTCAGGTGCTGCCAGCACTGCTGCTCCCAACGAGGCACACACGAACTCCTTGGAGCCAGGCTTGGAGTGTGCCAGCTGGGACAGGTGTCACCTGGCAGAGATGTCACATGGGAGAGGTGTCACCTGGCAGAAATGTCACTTGGGAGAGTTGTCACCCTGCTCCCCTGTGGCCAGTTAGGTACAATCAGTGGGGATGCAGTTCCAACATTTGTTATCTCCTGCCCAGCTCATTATATTTGACAGATGAGGAGAGCCACCACTGAATCTGTATTATCTGCAGATTTCTAAAAGGAAATACATCTTTTTACCCATTGTGGACACAGGAGAGTGATTCTGCAAGGCAGAGGCCTATGTGGTTTCTTCCTCTCTGAGAAAAAGAGGAAAGAAAATATGTAAGAAGCCTCCAAAATTACCCCAAAAGCCGATTCTCACTCAGATTGTTGCAGCTTTCGTATGAGTGAAGTGCAGAGAGCCCTGATCCCCAGTCCTGGTGCTGTCAGGATTTTTGGAGCAGTGAAAGGCTCCAAGTGTGTCTGTGCAGTCAGCATTGAGGGCAGGGGCTGGAACTGCCCAGCACAGCCAATGCCCAGACCTGGGATCAGAAACTGGGAGAGCAGTTACAAGTCAGAGCTGCAATTTTCTTCTGCTTTACAAGTTTCATGTTGGTAATGTGAAGTAATTAATGAACCAGAGCAGTGCTGCAGAGGGGGAATAATTTTAATGCTCCTTTTAAAGAGGCTACTAAATCAATGGGGCAGTTTAAAAAGGAATGATAGCCTGGAGATTAGGAGACTTAATGGTAGAAATTAGGCAGGGTTTTGAGAGTGATGGAATCTCAAGCAGGCAGGTACTTCATGAACTGCAGCGTGGGCATTTGCATGTTCAGCACACACTGGCAAAGGCAGGACTCACTGAGCTTTAGGCCTGACTGGTCAGACTGGGCAGCCATGCTCACATGTGAAGGTCCCCAGCACTTGGAAAAGACACTGAGAGACTGTAAAGCACAAGCTACACTCCTGCTTCCTACTGTGCAGGAGCAGTATTTTTCCACTCCTGTCACAGGTCTTCTGACTACCAGGCTCATAAGCGATGTCTACATGGGCTTTTGTAGGCAGATACGAGCTTACTCTGGCTGCTGGCCAAGAGAACCAGAAGCCATGGAGCTGCAGCTAATGTGCTATATGCCCAAATTACTGTGGCCTGCTGAGAAGCAGGATATTAGCTTGAGCTCAGAGCTCTGGCCAGCTCAGACCATAAGTGAAATAAGTTTTCCTCTGTGTGCAGAAAGGCATGGAGACAAGGATAGACAACTTGTGTAGGATTCAGAAAGCCATTTTTATATGGGCTGGAGCAGGTTAGCTGAGCCCAGGAAGATCAGGCAGACACAGCTCCCTGTGCACCCTGCCCCAAGCACAGAAAGCAACACCACATGGTTGGCCTCAGAGCCAGCCAGATCCTCCTGGCCAAGGAAAACTGCTTTGGGAGCTGCATCCAAATTCTGTGGGCCTCCAGTTGGCTCTCCCTGTCGTAGGCATACCCAGCGTTTCTCTTCTGTTTTGGATGGCAGGGGCTCGCTGTGGACAGGGAGGGTTTGAATTCCGTCCTCACTGGCTCTGTGAGTTTCTGCAGGAAAATGTTTGTACAATGTGACACCTGATGGGCCAAGTTGAATTCTGAGTTGTGAAGGTGGACAGGCACCTACATGTGTTCAATTTGGACTAAGATGAAAGGCTGTCTCCATTTTAAATGCATATATTAGCTAGTTGGATTAGCAGATATTTATTCCTAAAATCTTTTACTTTCTCAATTATAGAGACTGCTTTGCATGAGAAATTTCACCATGTATTACTGTTTAATGTTAATGGAGGAGGAACTGTGTGTGTGGCTACATGTATGTGCATATGTACACACACAGTGTACAAGAAAACAGGGATGTTTATATGTAAATACACATCCAGAATACAGTCTTGGTTATCTTAAAATAATACATAAAGATATTAAGGATTAACAGCAAAAACCTGTGTGCTAGGCAGTGTCATGGTGCAGTGAAGCATTTTACAAGCATGAATTCAAGCAACTGTCTCAGTTACTGAGGATAGAACCATAATTTGAGCAGGAATAAGCTTTAATTAAAACAGACCCATCAGGTGAAATCCTGGCCCTATCACGGTCAATGGCACAACTCTGACTGATCCTTCATGGAATCAGGATTTTGCTCAGATCTTGTGACATTTGCCTTTTCTGAATCTGAGGCATTAGTCTTCGAACAGAATATATAAGCTAAAAATGGAAAGCTGCCTGACCTAAAATAGTTTGACATCCATATCATAGTGCTTATTGTCTGAGAGTACATCTAAATGACATGTTGATTAATCCCGAAGTGAGGAAAATGCGATTCGTTGGAAAGAACTGGGATTGTACCAATAATTCAGTACCAGAAGCTACACAGCCATCAACTCAGTGTGCAACGTTTCCAGGAAAACTTTATTTGCAAGCTGTCAGATTCATCTGCCATTTTCCCAGTGACTTTGGTTCCCTTCTGAGTGGCCCAGATGAAATGCTCCAATCCAGTTCGTGTGGGCTATCAGCTACTTTGCAAAAGCAACTTTCCCCCTGCCTTTACTGAAAACAAAACAGTCACATCAAGTCAGGTTGCTGTGAGTGGCTCTTAAGAGAGATGTCGGCTGCACTTAGTGCACAGCTGGGGCCAAAGTGAAGCTGTGTAAGTGCCTGAGCTGTTCAGCTGGAAATTACATCTTGTGCAGGAACCTAAATGTCAAGTTCCCCAGTCCCCCTCACAGCCAGAACTCCAGCACCTCCCCTTTTCCCATGACTTTCTTCCCTTTCCTACAGATGTAGCTGTGTTTTCCTTCAGACACAATAAATCTTATATGGGAACGCCACAATGTAAAGCAAAGCGAGCTGTCACCCAGGACTTCAGATGACACTTAGCCACATTAACGAGTAAACAGAGCCCACAGGAAAGATGCCTTTTGAAATGCACTGTTTGTGTCAGCAGTGCTAAAACTAACGAACCAAAACAATGAGGGGAAAAAGGGGAATCATCAGATGCATCTAAAGCTATAGGCTTTAAAGTCAGATCGGCTGAGAGCTGCTCAAATACAAGCAAATCATTGGGACAGTGCACAAATGATGATTTCCATAAGCAGTAAGACAGCGAATACTCCCAGCCTTGTGATGGGAGGAAAGCACTAAAAGAAAGGCTAAATGTAACCATGTGAAAAGAAGGGAGCAGGAATGAATGTGCTTCTTATTTTGGAACCTTCTCATGGCAAACAAGCAAGGCTGGAGCCAAAATCTCCAGGACACAGAAGGAAGTTGGAACTGTTACCCCAGCGCATGGCTCACGAGAGAGCTGGCACGGAGAGAGGGATCAGCTCTGCATTGTTCAGAAGGAGCCTCACAGAGCATGCAGCATAACATGCATCCCCAGGGCCTTTGGAGGCAACCACTATCAACAGCCAGTGGAATCAGTCCAAAGTCAGAGAAATGTTACTAAATGATAATTTCACTCTTGATGATGGAGAAGGAACACTGTGCACCAGAAGAAAAGAAATAAACTGATGGCAGGGTATAGAAATGGTGCTGTGGAAATGGCTTTGCTTTGCTTGCTGGAGGTATTTACTCTTCCATTGAACCAGTTTTTAAACAATAATCCTCTGAAGGAACCTTTCAGTTCACTGACATGGTGAGAGGAAACCAGTATTAGCTACAGTGCTTACATTCGTGGTTGCTTCATGTTGATACAAACAAAAGTGCGGGTCTGGAATTGACAATAGCGGTGGTTTAGGTTTTCTTCTTTCAGTGATCCCCAAATTATGCCTGCCTGAATAATTTGGTACTAGAGGCAGAATAAACATCAACTCTTAATAGCTGAATTTTTAAGGTTAAAACTGAGGCTAAGTACATAACATTTATCTTCTGAAGAAAGCATGCGTACCCTGGTTAAAGGGGAAGATGAAAACCATGTTTATGAGAGCAATGGCTGATGGCTTAGTTCTGCGTGATAAAATAAATAACTTCGATTAACTTCAAGCTCCAGTACCTCAGATGTTTGTTGTCACAGAGGAGCAGCTTGGCTGATTGGCAGCTCTGATTTAGTCGACATGTGTTAACAGAAATTGCTCAATTTACATGGAGTACTTCAATCTGCTGTTTTAGGAGTTTTTGTCTTACATAGACTGGCATTTCAGCTTTTGAATAGATGGAGGACTTGTAAGGGTCATTAAAGAAATTGCTAAAGCTTCTGCAAATGCTTGGGCCAGATTGCTGACTGAGATGCAGAGCATGCACGTGTCACTGCAGATACTTCCCAGATAATGGTGCTGATTGAGATTTTAATCTGGACAGAGTGCTGGAGGCAACTTTCTTTCCAACACTCAATTATCCTGATAATAATATGCTTATTTTTTTCCTGTGTTCAAAATGTGTGGTCTGCTGCAACTGTGCAGTGTGAGTACAGTGCTGTACGGAGGGGGAAAAATCAGGGAGCAAAAGTGACTCCACGGCAAAGGGCACTGACAGCACAGTCCCAGAGTGTGCAGGGCGATGTATTTTTACCTTGAATGAGCTGAGTGACCACCATGAGAAAGGGCTGCATTCCTTCCCACAGGCTGCAAGACAACTCCTTGGTTCTCAACAGCCACAGAGGAATAAATCTGGAGCACAGCCTGCAGCCAGGACCACTTAGCGTGTTGTAGGGGCAAGACTATCATTTTACTGTGCATTTGCATCTTGTATCCTCCCTGGTGGGATGCTGATCCATAACAGTCTTCTAAAATCTCACACAACACAAAGAATCCAGACTAGTTTCCCACGGACACTCTCCATGAAAGAATTTCTTAGAAGAGATAACTCAGCCAGGAAATGGGAACTAGGGGGCCACATTCCTTCATTCAATTCCATCTCCCTTTGGTAAAGGATTTAAAAAATTGTCCCTATATGACTAATCCCAACTATATTTCCCTAATTTCTAGGGAAGCAACAGTTTCTAGAAATGAAGAGTAAAGCCATTTGAGGAAATGAAGCTTTATTTGCTTTTTAGTAATTAGAGGATTTTCTGCTAGATCAAATTACTAATAACATTTTGGTTATTAAAATGTATGAAACTTAGATTTACTTTTCGGCCTCTGTATCATCTTCTGATCCTTAATACTTTTCATCACACTGAAGGAATGAAAACAAACTCAGCTGTTTTGTGTTTGTACACAGTTGACTTTTACCAGGGCTGTGTTAGTATTGTTACAGACTCGTTATAAGTGGTGGCAGAGCACAAACTTCTGAGGCAACACGGAATATTCACCCTCGCTTTCAGTAGGTTACAACCCAAAACGAGTGCCACAAACCTGCCAGGAGAGCCAGAGAAGGTTCTGCTGCTTCCCCAGCTCCCTCTGTCCCTCTCTGATTGCTGTCCGCAAGGATAGCTGTGAATTTGACTCACTTGCTTTATGTGTCCACTTGTATTTGTTGTTTGAAGTGAATGCACACGCCCTAAAGCAAGGAACATAAGATTTTTGGCTTTTTATGATCAGTTGAAAGTTTTTCCATATATGATACATTCATCTGTATTGAATTTAGTTAAGTTAAAGCGCTGGGTACACACTCTTATTGTGGACTGGGAGTGATTTGGGTCAATTTGCTTTAAATCCATCCCTGGCTGACTTGCACTGACCTGAGCTGAGCTACACCTGATTTATGCTCTCAGTTACCGCATTTTGACCAAGAGCTCGGGGATGCTGTTGGCTGCCAGCACCGTCAGGAGTCCCCGCACAGCAGCGGCTGCCGGGAATCGCAGCATTCCCGCAGCAAACGGGAGCTCCTCGTGTCGGGGGACCTCAGGCCAAGAAAAAGAGAAGTCTGAGCGGGTTTCTCCCATCCCCATCGCCGCGGGCTAAGAGCAAACACACACGGTCAATTAGCGAGGCTCAGCTGATGCGCGGTGAGTTGTCAGGATCCGAATGAGATCGCTCATTCGTGGATGCGGCCCCTGAAATGTCCTTTTAAACTGCTGGTTTATAGACAAGTGTGGCTGTGGCTGTGGCTGTGGCCAGGCAGACAAATCAGCGCGGGGATAAGGAGCCTTTGGGTGCCAGTGGTGCCATCTGTGTACCTGCCGGGTGAGCAGGGGAGCCTCCCCTGCCCTCCCCTCCCCTGCCCTCTCCTCCCCTCCCATCCCCTCCCCAGGGGGAAGGTATGCCTCAGGCATGGCAAATCCAGAGCCTGGACGGGTTTAACCTAGTTTAGAACAGTTCGGCTTGGTTTAAGTGGAATAAAACAGATTTAAGCCGCTTTTACACCAGTTAAACTGTACTTACTGTGTATTTTACTCATTTGCTCAAATGGTGCAAAGATCAGATCTTTGAGTCAAAAAGAGACTTTCCATTGACCTAGAGCAGTGTTTTATGGAGAAGTTTGAAGGCCTTTCATTCTAAAGATGGGCTTGCATCTTAACAAACAAACCACAAGACAACAAAGATAAACCCCACAATCCCAAACTTCCAGCTTTCCTCCCAAATAATATTCTTTTTCTTACTCTGCCCTGTGGGAGAGGGTCAGGTTTTCTAAGAAAAAATTTGCTTCTTTCCAGCAAGGAACCAACAGAATTTGCTAAATTAAAATTAAAGTTTCAAAAGCTCCAAACACAGTATGGGCTTGGACCCTTTGAAACTGTGACTGAGACCAATGAATCGCAGGATCAAACACCAAAACTTTGGGTTGCTTTTCTTTTTAACTCAAAAACTTGCATTCAATCTCAGTTCATCTTTACTTTCATGTAATGAAAGGGAAGACATTTGATTAGGTTATGTGAGATCACGTGGATGGATTCAACACATGGCTGCAGGACCAGGCATTATTATCTTGGACACATTTTGAACAGTGCTTCTCACTCTGCTATCAGCCACCGCCACCTCTGCAGTAATGTGACAGCAAGAGAAAAAGGATGGGAAGGCGATAAAGTTTGCCCACGCAAGGAGAAAAGAACTTTCTGTCCAAAGCCAGCTGGCTTGGCTTGGGAATGAAATGGCATTTTAGTGAGAGGTGACCTGTTTCCATGAGCTTTGTCTCAGAACACTTGTCCTCGGTGTTGCAATGGAGTCTGAGATGCAGTTTATCACCAAATACACACAGAAAACAGGTGAGCTGTCTCCGTGCCAGTTTGTCTTCTAAACTGTTTGACAGATAAGAAACCATCCTCAGAGATTGCAACAAATGTGCTGCCGCATTTCATGGTAAGAACCGAGCATATTTTTAGTAAAGGGTTGAGAAAGTATGCAATAATCCTAAATCACAGCCAAGAAAACCACAAACCCCGTAACAAACGCCTGTTCGGATTCAGAGCTCAGAAACGTGCACCAGTTGATCCACGTTAACGCTCCAGGGAAAATTTTAAGCTTATTTTTCCAAACTCCAAGAGAGAGTCTGTGACTTTTTTACCTCTACCTGGAAGGGCCAGGGGGAGCAGGGAAGCTGCTGGGTGTTCTTTATCCTGTGGGACACAGACCAACCATCCTACATGTGCTCCCAAAGAAATCAATGGGATGTGCACCAATGAAATATTTGTACTGAGGAGTCTGTTCACCGTCATAAAACCCCAAAATGTACCTTGTAAACTGTCCAAATTTAAAAATTAAACTTTATTCCAAAAGTTAACTGCTTTAGAAGTTTCTTTGTTGTGCCTTGTACACTCTAACAGATCCTGCAGAGCCACACTGGGCTCTGGATATGAAGGTTACCAGATCAGATAAAAAATGTATTTTATCCTTTTTTTATTGCAGTTTGGCCAGTGAGTTTAAAGTGAAGCAGACAAAATGCAGGAAAAATAAGACTTAAATTTGCATTTTAGAGCAGCTTTAGCTGATTACAGAGAGAGCTGAGTGTGCTCTGCACAAGTCAGGAGAAACTTATCTGGCTTTTAAGAGTTCCACAAGTCTTTTGTCACTTGAAGAGGCCCCATCAGCTTCAAATCTACTTTTAAAAAGTAGTTCAAAAACGTTTCAGGTATTATGGTCTCCTATATCTATTTCTGTCCCTTTTGTTTCCTAACAGCATGAGATACTGACCACACATACTGCTGTCAAATATAGAAATTAAACTTACAGAAAAAAGGAACCATTTTCTCTTTAATCTCTTGGAAAATTTTCCAGACTAAAGCATAGCTCTTAAATGGATAATATCCCTTTAAGAATTTATTTGCCAGGTAATGTTAGAAGAAAAAAGACTTTAAGGTCAGTTTGAACATTTAAAAGATCCCCTTTAAAATAAATTTCAAATCTATATTGCAGATAATGGCAAGCAGTATTTGAACAGCTCTCTAAATTATAAAATATATTCTACACCTTAAAAATGCAAATAGCTTTAAAATCCTTTTAAGTGATTTCCAGCTCCTTGGAAAAAGGTCAAGATTTATCCTAAGAAATACTTTGTTGCATAAAAATAATACAAATAGTTTAGTGTTGCAATATATACCAGTCATAATATGTATAAAGCAACAAAATTATTAACAGATGAGGGCCTGTAAGTTTTGAATAATGCAGTAAATATGATTATTTTTGAGGGGTGAAATAACACAATGCTGTCAGAAAAGAAAATTACATTTTAATAATGAAAATATTGAACACAACTATTTTTCTTTAGATCTGCTAAGCAATCTGTGTGTTCCCTATGAGATGTCAAACTACAGAGTGCATATGAAGGCTTTGCTCCCTCTATAAATATACATGTGCACGACACATTGCTAACAGCAGCAAGCGAGTGCTGGGGAAATACAGCAACAATGAAGTTCCTGAGAGAGGCTTATTTTTTCAAGTTATTAAAAGAAGGTGGCAAGCGTTCATGAGGATATGAAAATTTAAAGCCGTCTGCAGGAAACTCTGAAAACCTCTGGTTAAGGCTGCTGCCAAAAAATCTCAGCTATGTTATGTCAGAATGTTTAATTGCAAGCTGCAACTTTAATGAATGGAAAGATATGGCAAAAGCAGGAAGTTTCTGAAGCAACATGGAGCAACCATGAAAATAAAATACCAAAGGTTGTAATCTTGAGTGCAGTTGGAAGCAGGAATTTCCATCCACGCTCTGCCTCCTTTCCCTGCTGTGCAGGGGCTGCCAGCTGAGGGGAGAGGTAAAAGGCTCTGGATATCATCTCCTGGGCTCAAGGCAGCACTTGTTGTGTCCATGTGAACAAGTCAACTTCTTTGCATCTGTCATTAGGGGTGTTTACAGGAGTGCAGCTTAGGAATGAGGGGAGGAAAGGCAAATGTCAGAGTGCATTAAATAACGTATTTTCTTTACTTTCCAAGAAGCTTGCTCGCAGCATGGTGTTGCTATTTATATCCCATCTCCTAAACCCAGCTGTTGGTTCATGTTAACATGCAGAATGGTGAGAAAATCCCAGCAGAAGAGCGTGAATCCCAGAGAGACTTGTGGGGACCTATAAAATATCACAAATTTTGCTGAGGTCCGGGCCAGGCATGCCCTTGGTGAGGCAACACCAGCATTTCCCCTGCTGATCCTCCAGTGTTAGAACACCAAGAGCAAAGCAAAATGTAAAGTTCCAAGTGCTGCAGCAGAAAACTTCAGGGAACTGGGCTCACACCCCTGGCTGGAAGAATTTGAAAGAGTATCTTTACCTGTAACTCAAAACTAGCAAATACACTGTACACCCACATAACAGCATTCTTAGACAAGCTGTGTCTGATCTAATCTTATGTACCTTGGCCACAAGTTTTGGAAAAACAAATATTCCCAAGGCAATCAGATTAGTGAGTATACCATATAATGATGTGGAAATACTGGTGGTTTATAGAGAGCAGTTTATGGGATGGATTGAGTGAATTTAATTCATGCATTGTCAGGTAACTTGGACTTCAGTAAAATAAGGAAATCTTGATTTTTATCTGCGTGTAGTGGAACATCAGGGCCAAAGAGTGTAAGAGCAGCACTCCTGAGCACAGACAGGGAGCTCAGGGGGGTTTGTTCCCAGCCAGCTCTGGAGAGGACAGGCAGTGCTTGTGCTGAGGTGACCACGGGGTTAACAGGGTTACCCAAAGCCTTAATGGCCAGCAGCCATTATCTGCTCCTCTCTGATTTCCTGCTCCCTAGGTGGGAGTCTCCCCCTGCCCCTCTCCTTTGTTTCTGATGTGAGTTCCCATCCTGAAATGCTGCGAGTACAATTCGGTTTTGTTGCAATCAGTAGTCCTTTACAAAATCCTCATTCACAGAGTGTTTCCCCCATTGTAAGTGGAACAATGTTAGGAATTAATCTGGCTTGTGATTTGTAGGAACCTTGTTCTGAAAACCTTGTTCTTAGACCCCCCCTCCCTTTGAAGGGTAACTTAATTGTTTGGCAAACATGCAAAACCTACATAACATCCCCTACTCCTCTCAGCTATGATTTTAAAAGTCCTGCATTTTGGTTTTATGTAACGTTCACCTCTAGAAGCATGGGGCTCAGATTCTCTTCTCCAAGACACAAGAGTAAAAAGCTGATTTCTGGAATATGAGGAGGATTTGAAAGGAGGAAAAGCCATGGTACATCTCTGGAATGGATGGTAAGAAGGTCCTAAAATGTAAGTTGAAAGTTAGTAGAGATCTGATTTTGGTGATAGTGCCTCCAAAATACCTTGAATGGGTGGGTGGAAATGCACTGGAATAGAGATGCAAGGGAAAGCTTTATTGCCATAACAACTGCTGGATGATGACTCTACACAACTCTGAGGCTATCTAGTTAAAATTAAGAATGCTGCTATCTTTTCTCCTTATCTTTCTTTATATTTGCTATTGCTCTGAGTTTATTTCTCTTTGGATATCATGGAAATTGCAGTGCCTGCTATTTGGCCAAGGGAAGAGATTTCAGGGGGCTCTTTTTATTCTCTGGGTTGTACATAAGATGGGCAGAAATGCAGTCAGTGGTTGTTCCCTTTTCTCACAGAAGTGATCCTGGCAGATGCTTGTGGTAATTTTTCCCTCATCATATTGACACTCCAGTGTGATGTTCTCTGGGGCTTTCTTATGTTGCTGCTCCTAGAGTCTTACAAAGACTGACATTTTTTCTCTGCTGTGTACATTTTTCTTTATTATTTACAGTTTTGCACCTTCTGTATTATCCAGGAGAATTTGGCCTTTGCAGTTGTCCTGGAAATTAAACCCAATGCAGCACCATCAGGTGAGGCAGTGAATTCAGGATTATAATGCACCAATTCTTTTGTGACTTTATTCAGCCTGAGGGGTGACATTTTTCACTCACTGTGACACGTCAGGACATCTGTGCCCTCCCCACCACCCATCCTGGGTCCCCACCAGTCCCACGAGGGCTCTGCAGGGGCAGATGTAGCAGCACATCACCACACATGGGAAAAGCATCAGGAATTCCAACTGCAACCTGAATTTTGCACTTCCTTTTCTCAATTGTTACACAGGGCAGTGTTTCCATCAGGGCAGGAAAGCATTTCAGTGGGAAGGAGGCTGCTCTGTGCCCCTGAAGTATTGTTTGCAAGGCTCATAGAGAAATCCCTTGAGCAACACATGCTCTGCTTATTCTTGTGGTGCCACTGAAAAGGACAGACTAGAACCAATTATTTATCTCTTTGGCTTCCTGCTCTATTTTTTGCCAGCTTGGAATAATATGTACTGAAAATAATTCATGAGTATATCCAGAAGTCCTTGCTCAGGCCTTCCTTCAATGTCTTACTCAGATTCCCACTGACTTTTATAACTTAAATATTCAGTATTTTATCTTAACATCTTCTCAGCATATTGCTGTCAAGAGAGGATTTTGTGTTATTAATCATTAGATTCTAGTAATAGACCTTACAGGTATTATGGATGATAGGTACAGTGAGGAAGGAGAGAATAAATCATATTCATATGAAAATCAATGACATTTAGACTGTTCATGTTGAAATTGAAAGAAAATGTGTATTTAAATATCTTCCTGATTGTTACAGACCAGTAACAATCAGCTTGGAAATATGATTGTTGATGGCAAATATTTATATTTTGTTGTCTTTTTCACTTATTGTAATATTTTTCTTAGATCCACAAGAAGAAGTGCCTGTTCTTGCATTTCTGTTTTGAACAAAAGGTGGATGTTTCAGAAGCTGTTCAATTTATTCACTAGCTGCACTTTAAAATCCAAACTAATCTGTACATTACAAACCCTGAACTCCAACATATCTGAGAGCTGTGAATTACTATTTCCACTTGTGGTAAACTTCTGGAAATAGACAACAGAAATTTGCATTTACTTTTTGGGAATGATCGTGGAGGATCCACCTTTTCCCATCCCATGGTGTGGTCAGCACCCTGCCAGATGGGAGTTTCTGTCATCATTTCTGCCACCCTATTCCCTAACCCTCTGTGGAGCTACCTTTTTGTGTTCAGATGATGATATAATTTTCAAATACAAAGAACACCCTCTGCTCTCTGTTTTTCAGAGCCAGCACCTTTGGTTCTGGTGCCCTGATTAGAGATGTGCCCTTTGCAGTGATTTGGAGCTGTGAAATGGCTCCTGTCGCTCCACTCTGAGCCTGTGGGTATCTCACAGGATAAATCTGGAAGAGCTGTAGAGCGCAGATGATTTTTGGCAAGTATCATTTTATCATCAAAATTTTATTTTTGGGTCGCTCTTCAGCTGCCGCCTTCTGTGAAGGAGAAGGACGCCCATTTGATGGCTTTTATGATGTATTCCCGAGTAGTCTCTTCTGCTTAGAGCAGAATTAATGGGAGCCCTGGCAGAGACAATGTGAGCTGGGGATGGAAGCATCAGTGGAGCTGAGGTGGACTCTCACCTTTGTCTGAACCTGGAGGCACAGCTCACGTCCTCAGAGCTGGGAGATTCACAGAAAGCCAGGCAGAAAAATAGGAATTTTTAAATCTATATCTGTACAGTAGATAGTCACTATACATACAATTCGATATATTGTATATAATTAATACTTAGGGTAGAATTAATATAGTGTATATGCACTGTATACCATACATGTATTTATAGTGCATATTATATATAGTATATATACTTTATTATATATTTATATATTTAGTAGTAATGACTTTATATTAATAGTTTTGCTTTTACAACCTTGTCCTTGCTCAGTTTTACCAGTGGCTATTTCTCTCAATTATTTGTCTGTACACATAATACATATATTTTATATATTGCATATATATAAAATACTAGATATTAGTATATATACTATATATACTAATATACTAGACACGCTGTGTTTATAGATACACTATAAATAAAAATATATCTACAGAATATGGAGTGTGTCTTTATACACACACACACACACAATATATATATGTATATATATGTATATATATATATATATATATATTTATAGCCATGTGTTGGGGAGGCGGTGGTGATGTCTGAGGGTGACACACACGGGCAGCTGGGCTGTTTCTCTGTGGGGGCAGCCGGTCCCTGCTGCCGGCTCGGCACGGGGGGCACGGGGCACTCCCGGAGTTGTTTTATTCGCCCCAAATCCCGCCCGGCCCCGCCTCAGCGCAGCCGCCGCTCGGGGCGGGCCGGGCCCGCTGCGTCACCGCCCGCGCACCCGGCCCCGCGCTCTGCGCATGCGCGCCCGCCAGGAGGAGGCGTTCCCTTCCCGACGGCCCCGCCCTCACTCGGCTCTGATTGGCTGCAGATTCCCGCCCCGCCTTTCTGATTGGGCGTTCCGCTGTCACTCAAGGCGTCCACGTTTCGCTGCGCCCCGCCCACCAACTGCGCTCTGATTGGCGCGTTGCCCCGTGCGGGCGCTGCGATTGGCTGTGCGTGCCGTCACTCCAGGGCGGGTCGGCGGGGCAGGAATGTAGGCCCGGCCGCTCCCCGGCCCAACAAAGTAATCCGGCGATGCTCGGAGCGCGGAGTGCGGCCGTGCCCGTCCCACCGCCCGCCGCGGGGGCACCGCGCCCCTCCCCGCCATCCCCGTTCCGTCCCGCCCCTGCCCGGCGCCGCTGAGCGCCCTCGGCCCCGCCGGAGCTGCGCGGAGAAACGTGCGGAAGGACACCGGAGGAGAGTGTGACAGAAGCTGTAGTTCCGGCCGCGGTCGGGCCTTGTTTCCCAAAAATAGCGCGGCGCGGTATCCGTGCGCCGGTGTCAGTGTCTCCTGAGGAGCCGCGGCGGGAGCGGAGCGAGCGGGAGCGGCGGTGAGCGGGGGGTCCCGGCTCCGCGCGGCCGCGGGGCGGGTTCCCTCAGCCCGGGGCTCGGCCGGGGCCGGGGCTGCGGCCCATGGGGTGGTGGGAGGGGAAGGGGGAAAGGAAGGAGCGTCCCCCCCCGCCGGCCCCATCCCGCTCTGAGGGAGCGCAGCGGGGGAAGCCGGCGGGGTCCCGCGGTGGGCGAGTTCCCGGGGCCTGCCCAGAACTTCCTGCGGGAGGGGATGGACACCGCTGGGCCGGGCCGGCGGATCTGCCCGCGGAGCGAGGGAGGGTGGGGTGCGCGGCCCTGGAGCGGCCGGGGAGCGGGGAAAGCAGCCTTTGTGCTGGGTGTCGCTGGGGAAGGCGACAGGAAAAGGCTCCCCGGGTGCCCGTCCCTGGAGTGCGGCGGCGGGAGCGGCCGGGGGAGAGGGAACGGTGGGTTCGGGAGTTGTGCGCCGCAGGAAGGTGCGCTGGCAATGGCAGTGCCGGGGGAGAAGCGCTCCCGATGCGCGCACCGGAGGGTGCTCTGCCCAGAGGGAGAAGGCTGAAGGTACGGCAGGATTTTGTGTGCAGCGGCAGAAGTCGTGAGGAAAAAGGACTGGTCCACTTCTGACTGGAAAGAATAATTTTTTTAACTTTATGGAGCTGTCTTTTACAATAAATTTTTACTTGCTTTTGAGATGCTAAGCGGCGAGGAGAGTGGAATTGCTCAGAAAAAACTGACCATAGTGCCTTGTTTGACAGGTGATTAATTTCAGAGTTGAGAGATTGGAGTTCTGGGGGAGGGGGGGGGAAAGATAATTTAAAAAGAGGGTTTTTTAGATTATTTAGTGTAAAAACATTGTGTCCCATAGCCATACAACGACTAAAATTATTATGAGCAGTGGGGGGAAAGGGGTTTTGGGAAGTACAAAGGAGGAAGGAAAAGGAATAATTTGTAAACAGTAGTAAAGAAAATAAAGTGGTTTGGTATGGAATTGATAATGTAGATGTATTTATTTTAAACCTTTTTCACAGTCTAGGAAATTTTTATCTAATGTGAAGAAGGGTGTATACTTTCAACCTTTATTATGTGAACTGTCTACACACAATTATACCTTATGCAAGTTTTTTTTTATTTTTAGGAACTAGCCAGCTATATTTTGTTAGATAATTCTGGTCTCTTCTTATTGCTATCTGGTATTTAAATACCCATGCAAAAGATGTCAGGGCAACATTCCTGTCATCTACTCTGTCTGTATTTAAAATTATTTTAAGTGCCTTTTACGTGTGAGAATGTAATATTTAGGTTTTTTTCCTCCTATCTCACAGGTGATTTGCATTTGGGGGAGAGGTGTGAAGTTCCTCATTTAGACTATTTTTTTTTTCATTGAGGTGCCAGAATATGTGCAAAATGACACGTTATTCAATTACATAATTTAGAAGGATTATAATAAATTATAATAAAGGATGTAATGTCGGTGCTTTTGTTCACTAAAGGGTATAATTATTAAATGATATTTTAAAATTCTATACTTGTTAAGCCAGCAAATCAAAAATAAGAGAATGAACAAATTGTCAAGATATTAAGGGATTATGATGGTGTTATACAGCTGGAGATGGGCCTTTTTTGACTGAGGGCATTCGGTTTGGAATTTCATAAAGAAAATAACCCAGTGCCCTGGTCAGTTGTTTTGCTCCTCCATAATTCTTGCCCACATCTGTAGCTGGGTCCACGTGCAGTGGCAGAGGAGAATCGTCGGTAAATGGGAAGAGTCCCTCAATGTCAGGGACAGGCTCTACCTCAGGACAACTTTAGTGTACATGAAACTCCTTCTCTCTGCCCCTGGAGCTGATCTAAACCAGTTTGCACATTGCAGCCTTTCTGTGATTTATTTGTGAGCAGACATTTGGAGATGTTGGTGGAAATACATCAGCTTTTTTGCTGTTTGCTTGTCCTGCTCTGTGTTTTCAGTGTGTGTTTTAACCGATGTGGTCATTGCTCACCTCTGAGTGAGTGGTGCCATGGAATGCTTTGCATATGTGCAGATCCCTGGATTTAGATCCCTATAATATGAGTTTCTTTCTCTGTGAAACCACAGATGGAGAAGAAAGCCAACATTGAATTTTATGAACTTAGAGAAATTGAGTCATGTTGGATTAGCACAATGAGGAGGACATGGCTGCACTCAAACTTGAAATAATTCTGGAGAATAAAAGGGCTCATTATGGCAGAAGACTCATCTTATTTAGAAAGCTTTGAGCTGAAGTGTGTGTGGTTCACCTTAAACTGGTTAATGTGGGCAGCGGAGATTTTATGGGTTTATTTTAGAATGTTGGCCACGTTTCTCAGATAACTTGTTGATGTCATTCTGTATATTCTGGGCCCAAGTGCTGCTTCAGAGAGCCTGGAGGCACCACTCTGCTCTGTGAACAATGCCGTGCTACCTTGCCTGCTCTCAGCCATGCCTCCTAACAAAACACAGCTGATTAATTCTCCAGAGTACTGAAAGAAGTGTAGTCTAATGCTGTGTAATGAGCAAATCTGTATTAGTTTGGCAACTTTTTTTCCTAAATAAGGAATCTCTTGCATTAGTTATAACTGTGGTTTGTTATGTCTTGCTTGAGAGAGGTCTGTGGGGTTTAGTTGAATTTTTAAAAGTATGTTTTCTAAAAATTACCATTAACACATTTTACTCGCCTCACCAAATTGTTAATTTTTTATTTTTAAAGGATTAAATATTCTGTATAAACCTTGGCCTTTTAGGCCTACTCAGTTCTGACAGCAGCCGGGTTGGTAATGTGTGCAAAGCACTGGGATCTGCTTTTCCTTCTCATTGCAAGAAATCTTCCTTTGAATTAAGTGGAACATCATGTGGCAATGTATGTGCTTCTTAATGCACAAACTGCTTTAAGTTTTCACATTCATTATGTTGGAAAGACATTACTTCACATGTGTAATAATGTGTTCTTCAATGGATCAAATGGAACAAAAGTCAGAGTCTCTGTCTGTGATAATATGGGTGAATTTGGTGCTTTTTGTTCAGATTTGATCCCTCCAGCTCTGGTGAAGCAAGCAGGGGATATAAGCACAGCACTCCCTTTTTCCTTGGGTGCCTTCTGTGCACGGCAAGGCCGAGCAGGGATCACCTGAATGGACTTGTCACTGGTACTGAGGTGGTGCTGCTGAGGGGTTTGACTCCTGCTCCTGCCACCGAAATGAATAAAGGCTTTGAAGGTGTGTAATGGTGCAAGGTTTTAATTTAGGTGTCTCAAATTTATACACAGAATCCCCTTGGTTTAAGGTGCACTCACATGTGAAATAACTAAAGGTAGCTGTTTTTTCCCCTGGATGTTTGCAAGGTGGTTTGGTGTCTTAGGAAGTCTGGGAGATGACACAAGACTTTGTTTTCACAAGGCTTCTCCCCCAAGTTAGCTTTGCTGACCTTCCAGTAAAAAACTTGAGGAATTTTTTTTGGACAGCTGATCAAAATGCATTTTAGGTCATTGATGCAATATCCAGTGTACAGAAGAAAATAGTATTAGTGAGAGTTCAGCCCAGCCTGCAGCTGTGTAATATGACAGTTACCCTCCCCCAGCGTGTGCTCTGTGCTGGAGCACCAGCTAATAAATAATGAGCTCGCAGCCTGCAATAATGTATTTTGCTTCTTTTATTTGAAAGTAAGCATCTGATCTAGATTTCTACCTCTGACCACTCCTCTCATCTGGTGCTTTCTTATTTTAACACTTGATCCTTCAAGTTACTGCGTAGGGAGTTGAAAAGAAGAGGAGAAATTTTTTTCCACCATATTAAGGCATTGATTTTTAAAAAAAATCAACTGTATTGTTTTGGCTTCTGTTTAATGGTTCTGCAAGAGTGTTTCTTGATTGCTTTATATTTAATATATAACTTTCTTTAGAAACATAAACCCCTGTACTGTGTACTCTCATTTGCATTTGACAGTAAAAAGGAATTGCTATCTTGAAAGATCCCTCTGTTCCTGAGACTTCACCCCTGCCTGTCCAAGACAATCACCCAATAGGAATATTTTAAGTTATATATGGAATATATATATTTTTTTATTTTCTGATTTTATTCTTTTTCTGAGTCTACAGTGAAGGATTAGGAAGGAATTTTAT